ATTGAACAGTTTAAGTTAATGTATAAGTATAGATTTGTGACAAGTTTACATTTATCTCCTAGCTCCTGATTTAATTTATTTTTATTTTTTCTGACTATAACAAGATTACAACAAAAAACTTAACTTTCATGGTGAGTCTTAAAATCAAGTCAAAACCTTGCCATAACCTAATACTGTCAGTTCCCTTTAAGTTTATTTCTAAAATTTTTCAGAGGTGTTTCAAGAGTGGTAAATGAGAAGGGAAAGTGTTTTGTGTTTTGAAGCCCTTTCCTAGTAGCTGATGAGAAAAGACACTTGGTAAGATTAAATAGGAATAATGAATCAACATATGAGTTAAGTCTCTTGGTGCTTCTAATAAAAACTTTGAAGCAAAATTTTCTGGAAAAAAAATCTACTTACAGGAGGAGAATTAGTCCATCCTGTACTCTCTGAAAGAGAAGTTCTCATTTTGCATGTCATTTGCAATTCCGTTTTTCCAGAGAGAAGGTGGCCTCTCTGGCCCTCTAGCCTGAGAATTGGTTTTCCTGCCAAGTACCTTTTTAAAAAATTTCTTTTCTTTATCTCAGTCCTCACATGAATAAATAATGTGATAATTGATAAATTAGTAGTAGCACACCTCTTCAGACCTAAGAGAAAGTTAAAATATTTTATTCTGATTTCTTAAAATTGGAGGAAATAAATTTTACAAATGCTCATAGTTTTCAAAAATGCATTAAAACTCAGCATGCTTAGAAGACTTCTTTGTTATTTATTGTATAAATATACAGAATTAGCTGAGCAACTCCTTTGTGAAAACTGATCAACAGCCAACTTTACTTTCTCTTAAAGTGTATTTTTCAAAAGTCTGTGGAAAGGTCTGTATTTTAAGAATCTCACTTTTCTGTACCAAGTAAAGGTTATTCAGCCACTGGCAGAACGCAGGACAGGCTGGTGGCCTCTCTCCCTGCAGAGCACCGTGCTGTAGAGCACAGCGCTGAGAGCTACATGCTGCAGTGGCAGCGAGGCCACCTTTCCAACTACCAGTACCTGCTCCACCTCAACAACCTGGCCGACCGCAGCTGCAGTGACCTCTCCCAGTACCCGGTGTTTCCGTGGATAATAAGTGACTATTCCAGCCCAGATTTAGGTAAATACCGTGCATACGTTCTGATAGGGCTGAGTTGGAAATGCTCATCCTAAAGAAGAATAAATTCTCTTTTAGAATTGTGATGTGGTATATGGACAGATTAGAACTCATTTCAATTTTATTATTTTTTAATTAATTTTATGGGTACATTTTAGGTATACAATATAATGACATTCATCATTGGAAATTTGCACCTTTACATA